CCCCAAAACCCCAAAACCCCAAAACCCCAAAACCCCGGAAACAATATAAATTATTGAAACACAGAAATGAAAATTGCATCAAGTTCACTATCTGAATCATTTAACATTTATGACCATCTTTCTGACAGCATGATTCCCTCAAATAATCCAGGAGCCTCTGGGGAAAGAGTATCAACAAGCTATCGTAGAACGAGCCAAAATAATAGCCAAAAGAGATATATTCTTGGATTTGTGCTAATGATAATTTCAGTTTTCTTGCTCACAGTTGTCCATAGTTTGACCAAATACATTCCTATGAGGAGTCCTTATATCGGTTCATACGACTTGGTATTATCAATAGGTTTGTGCGTGACTCCAATTAACCTGATCGCTGCACTGGTCTATAAAGTAGAACTCAGGCCAACCAAATATGAGACAAAGGGACTACTACTTCTAGTAGCAAGGATTTTTATAGGATTACTTAATAACTTATGTGTTATTTGGGGGATAACAAGAGTCCCTCTTTCAAAAAGTGTGTTCATACTAAGCCTTTCACCCATTTGATGAACTCTATTGGCATCTTTATTATTAAAAGAAGTTATCTCTAAAGCCACAATTTTCTGTCTTATTTGGGGATCTGTTGGAGTCTATATTTTGACACTCAGTCATCCAGATGATGGAGAGGGAAAATTGTTAGGTTATTTATCTCTGATTTTATCGATATGGCTAAATGGAGCATTATTTGTATTGACTAAGTCGCTATCTTTATTCAAATTTCATTTCTCAATAGTAAATGCATGGTTTGGGTTGATCTACTTCATCCAACCACTAGCATTAAATCTATTCCGAGAAAACACTGTAAACATATCTCAATACGACCTAGTTGATGTAATTCTTCTTTTGAGTAAGTACCATCTTATATTTCATAGCACATGGATTTTTTGGAGCATTAACCATAATATGAATCTTCCTTGCTGCTAAGTTCACAAAAGCATCATTCACATATACTTTCCTTACGAAACCCCCCAATTTCACTCAACGGCCATTTACTGACACCCAAGCATGCTATATCCCTCCAATCCTACATCTAGAGACCATCTTCGCCATAATTCTCGACATATTCCTCTTCAAATACCACTTCACCACCTCAGACCTCCTCGGCATATCCCTCCTCACCCTCTCCATCGCAGTCCACGTTCACGCCACCTTGCCAAAATAACCCCTAAAACTCCCTTAAAACCCCCATTCTTCCACCCATTCAACACATTTCCCTAAAAAGGGGTTTTGGGGTTTTGGGGTTTTGGGGTTTTGGGG